CAAGCTCCCCACATGCATCACTAGCGGATGCAGACGGGAATGGGTAGTCTTGCTGGGGCCTGACCGATGCTGACTACAACAGCACAGCTGTTCTTGCTGACCACACATCTGTTTATATAGTACCAGGGTTGTTACTTGAGTGAACAAAAACAAAGACAGTGGTAAGCTGCTCCCCTCCCCACTGCCAGGTCATGACCTACCATGACACTTAGTATTTTTCAAGTTATTGTTATTATATTTGTCTAGATGCTATTTTATATCTATTTGTATGTTTTTTCTAGCTGGGTGGAAGTCTATACTTTTTATTGCGTGTCAATATTTGTACTTTTTTCCAGGTGACCTAAATTCTGATTCTTTTTTTACCTTAAGTTTCTGATTATTCTGTCCAATCTTGGAGCACAATCTCTAAATTCTTTACCACCCTATTGATTTTTCCCCCACAGAATATCAAACTACATTGGCAATGACTATCCCTGGCAGACGACTTCCTGGTCAGAAATGGATTTTCTGACCCTGCTTCAGTAACAGGATAGGGGAAAAAAAGTTTCCTTTGCCAAATGAGGATACACTGTCCTTTTTTTTTTTTTTTTTTTGCAAGTCCTTGCTTTTTAACTAAGACAACTTCCTAGAACACTTTGAACACTTGCCTAATGTTTTGGGGGTATGGAATAATGACCTTATAAGTCCCAGTGTGTTTTGGGCTATTGTGAAATTCTAACAACTTCTTTGTCTCTGAGTTTTGTTTCTTGGGAACATTCAACAACAGAAAGATCGACTCTGCAGTTCTGCCACAAGCCTTAGTGATCTGATTATGCATCATCAACAAGCAATGAAAAACTATTATGGAAAGGATGTATAATGTCAATTTCCAACTCCCGGTCAACTGAACTGAAAAGAATTAATGGACGTATTTATCTGAACAGAGTTTAATTTGAATATGTAATTAGCCATAGATTACAGCTCAAAAAAGTGTGAGTACTTAAAAGAAGAGTATAAATTAATTTTTTTGAGCTTGGTGAACATTATGTGTGCTATACAGCATATAGAATAACTTCATCCTTTCACATTAGAAATAAAATGTAAGAAATCAGATGCTATTAAGACATAAGAATTGATGTAAACTGTGATATTGGGTTGTAAATAATAGGCCAGATGTTTCAGAAAAGAAATTAATGAGTTTTGAGATATTTCCAGATAATTGAAATTATCCCCATCTCTCCCAGGTTGTTGGGGTCTACACATCCTTGTCATCAAGGATAACACATTTTATTCTTTGAAAAAGTATAGTCAGGTGGCTCGGATAAAACTATGACCCAGAAATTATTATGAAAGTGTCACATAATCAAGTTGTTTTCTTTCTGCTCATGATCACACGCCATCTGAGTCTGTATTCAGAATTCGGATGCAATGGCTCTTTCCGTTGCTTTTTTGTAAATCTTAAAGAATTCTAAATCGTGAATAGTTTGGAAAGCAAAATTCAGAAACACTTGGGCTTTATGACTTTAGTGAAGTGGTGAGTCCTAAGATTACATTTGGGCAAATTAGGTTTGAGATTTAAATTTTAAAAATGTCAATCGGTGTTGCCAGGATTGACTTTTGTGCTTGAAGGCCAACACATCTGGACTTGCATTAGATGTCGTGCATTGCGTGGTCCAAGCCTAATCTGGGGCCAGGTAACTCATTTTACAGCAGATGCCTTTCTTTACCCAGCACGAGCACTCAGAGTCACACCCTCTTTATTTAGGGTTCTGGTTCATTTCTGTCTTGATCTCTTCTCATAAAGACCTGTGTTTTTCACAACAATTTAACCTTGATTCTGGGAATCTTTTTTTTTTGAAACAGAGTCTCACTCTGTGGCCCTGGGTAGAGTGTCATGGCAGCATATCTCAAGACAACCTCAAACTCTTAGACTTGA